GTACTTTTTAGAATGCTTGTTAGAAGCACTACTTAGCAGTCTCTATATAACTATATGTTTATTAGACCCATTTGGAGAACTGGTGGCTTTCGGACCAGAACAAACAAGGTAAATAGAGTGATAGCGATTGTAAGGCGAATAGAGTCTATGCAATGTAAGATGATGTCTAGGCTAAGATGTTCAACCGCTTCCAACACTTCTCGTCATGCCATTTGCTCAACGCTTATCAGATTGAGTTCAACTTGAGCGTGACATTTCCTAAATATTGCATTCAACCCTATTTCACATCAAAAAGCAAACTACAATGAACACATATTTATGTATAGCATGGATGGAGACTTGCGCACATTAGCAGATTACTGAGCTTAGCACCGACCTGCATAGTTTAACTTCATCATAAGGGGTCCTGTACATGACTGTCCCCAAAAGTTCTCCTCGTCCCCGTGTCCCTCAACCAGAAGAAGTGCTGAAAACAGATGCCCACCCTTTTCTTATAGCCTTCAGTGAAGATATTCGTGGAAAAAAAAATAGATATCTCGGTCAACTTACCTACGTGAATTAGAAGTGACGTTGCTAAGCCCACGAACAACTCATATTTCAAAACATCTGCAGGGATCAATCGCAAGTTGGTGAGAGACCATTTATTGCATGATAGGTAATATCTTGCAGTTTAAAAACATGATAGTCTGAAGGAGGATGCATTAAAAGCATGAAATCTTTCTTCAACGTCTTCGTGCTAATTGGTGCGGGTTTAGCGTTGTAGCAAACTAAAACATAGCACACTATTGTCTTATCATCATACCATGTTTTCATGTATTTTCCTTATGTGAGCATGCGCTGCAAACTCATTGTGCATAAGGAAGTACGCGGATGCGTGTAAAGGCTGGAGCCGTGCCCCATGTGCCAGCCGCGTGCACATAAAGTATCTAATTCAGGAAAAACAGGTAGACAATGATGGTAAAAACTGTGAACTAAGGTGCCAAAGTATACATTGCCCATCGCATAAAAAGGTTTTTTGCCAAATTTGAGCATTTATTAGAACCTCTCACATATTTTCAACAGCTCATGATGATTACTTGTCCCGCATGGGATAGGCGTAAGAAGACACCTTTGATGCACTATGCAAAACCCAGTTTCGAAACAGAGTAATGAGCATAAAAAAGCATGCGAAAAAACCGT